ACCCCTTGCAAAACACTGCAAAGGGGAGCTTTGGTTGTGGAAAGGAGCAGGCTGCCCCAAACCATGGTCAGGGTGTTCTGCACATCAACGCTGCCTTTCCCAGCCCCTCCAAACCTTGTGCGGTATCGCCCTCTGCCGAAGAGCCCCGCTCAGCTCCCCACCTCGCTGACCGCTCCACCGCTATTCGGGGTGAACCCTTGCCCCCCAGCATCCCCTCTTGCCCTGTCACACCACCAGGATGCAGCCAGGAAAAAGATGGGCTTAACACCGCTGGGGCGGCATTCATGTAACGTGCATTTAGGGCTGGAAGCCTCTTTGGAGTTTTAGGGCACCTCGTAGCCGCACGTGCGGGTGGTTTTGGGGGGGCAGGGAGCAGGCGGGCAGCGATGCCGCCCAGGCAGTGCAGCACCTGCAGAGGGAGGCCAGGGAAACCCCCGGCTGTGCTTTGACTTGCAAACTGCGCATGCAGCGTTTAGCCCTCAGGAAGAGGGCAAAAATAGAAGTGTCACCAAAGAGCCACTTTTCTCACAATAGCAGCCTCACGTTTCATCTCACGGCCCCTCCGGCCTCTCCCACGAGAGAAAAAAGCAGGTATTGTCCCACAGGTACCGCAGGCCACATGCAAAGTTCCTCCAGTTTGCTTCTGAAGCATTCAGGAAATGATCTGGCTCTTATATGATTCAGCTTTTCCTACAACCATCGCTCCTTTTCTGCGCTGTGGGGCAGACACAGCATTTGGTGTGGCAGAGAGAAGGTGCTCTGCCCACTTTTGCCGAAGAGAAGCTTTGCCTAGGACAAGATACAAGCCCATTCTTCAAAGCTTGCCTTGTTCACAAGTGTGTAAAATGCAGCCCTTCAGGAGGGCAGGCTGAGCACTCGTGATTTCCATGGCTGACCTGACCCCATGCCCGGGCTGCAGCATCCTCTGCAGCGTGGGCTTTGCTCCCTGCATCCAGACAACGGGTAACCTGGTCCTTGTCCTTTGCTGCAGGTGGGAACCAGGATGGCAAATTCAGCGTCGGCTTCAGGGATGGGGTGGTCAGGACAGTCGTGAGTCTGGACAGGGAGACCGTGGCGTCGTACACACTGATCCTGGAGGCCATCGGTAAGGATTTCCCACCGTTCCCATGGGACCGCTACCACGCAGCCACGCAGGGTGGCTGTGCACGTGCCGAGCTGCCTTGGAAGCGTGGCAGAGAGACAGCAACCTTTGAGGTGCTCTATAAACCAGAGCCGGTGTTTGGTGTTAGCGTTTCACAGCCCACGTGCATTGACACATCCCGGTTCCACCATGACTTTTGCAGACAGTAAACTCAGCCCTCGGGCTTGTCCAGCCCCAGGGCTTTCCCTTTGCCCCTGGGTAGGCAAGACCCCCATTCCCGAAAGGCTGCGTGCTGTCCGGGGGAGACATCCACCCAGAAATGCCAGTGCCACAGCATTGTTCCCCTAATGCCATGCCAGCCCTTGGCTCAGCAGCTGGCAATTAATCCAGAGCCACCTGGCACGGGCAGAGGGCCTGCGTGCCAAACGCATCTTGGCCATCATCCCTAGAGCTTTATAATGATGGCCTGTTTGCAGAAGACTTGGACGTCCCTTTTTGCAAGGAGAAATAAGTGGCCTGGTCAGAAATCTCAGGGGTGCAGCATTGCAGGTGCCGTGGGGTCTTGCAGCGGGGATGCTGCACTGGTTGGGCACGCAGGACCAGATCCCAAGTGGCAAAGGGTCCATTCTGCCCCTCAGGTGGGTATCAGACTGCCTGTGTTTTTCTGGTCACCAGACCCCACGGGCTCCAGCTGGGGTGGGTTTAGTGCTCACTCGCATCGAGGCACGTTGGAAAAACCAAACTCAATCTATGCTCCCCATTGCCGCATCCTTCGTGGCAAAAGTGAGAGCTACGTTGCCATGTCCTTATCTACTGAACACCCACCAGTCCTGGTGCTCTTTGGCTTTGAGCTGATCTGGCTCTACAGAGAACTCGTCAGGGCTTTTGCTTTTCATCGGGGCCAGCTGCAGCCAACCAGACCCGCACAGCCTCCCTGCAGTGGCCCATCTTCATCCCCCAAATCACTGACCTCCAGCAGTCCCTTCCAGCATGTATCACCCTCTTAGTCTATGGAGTTGTAAACCCTCTTTAATAACCAGTTGTGTTTCTAGCCTTGCTGGGCAGTGGCTCCATGGCAGAGCTTGGGGGTGGTTTGGCTTTTCCTTTCTCTTTCAGAATAGGCAGAAAAAACACCCCCGTGCTTCAGGGTGGGATTAGGAAGCTGCAGAAAAGATGGAGGATTTTAGTTTAGAAGTTTTGGTCCTCTTATTTTCAGCAGCCGAGGGCTTAGCACCACCTGTGCAAGGAGGAGATGGAGGTGACTGAACCTCCCCTCACCTTTCTCTCCCATACAGACAACGGCCCCACCGGGAACCGGCGCACCGGCACTGCCACCGTGTACGTGACCGTCCTAGACGTCAACGACAACCGACCCATCTTCCTTCAGAGCAGCTATGAAGTCAGCGTCCCCGAGGACATCCTGGCCGCCAGCAGCATCGTACAGGCACGTGGCTCTGTCCCACCAGGTCCCCTGGGTGGGCAAAGGGGGTCCCCTGCTCTCTGGGCCCTGGCACCGTGGCTGTGAGCTGCTGGAAACCCAGGGAAGGCATTTTCTCTCCCCATCGGTGGTCTGTTCCTCCAGGCCAGGGCGAAATGTGTTCTTGCTCGTGTGTTCCCCTGCTCCTTTGCTAACCCAGGCTGTGAGCACCAGGGAGAAGACAGCAAAGCGCAAGGGAAAAAATAAGAAATTCACCCCATTTCTGCAGGGGGTGAGAGAAGCAAACCCAATCCCTGTGTTGGTGAGGCCCCTTTGCCTGGCTGCGTCCCTGCTTTCTCCATCCTGCCAGCAGAGAAGGCACCGACAGCAGAGATCTCAAGGGCGAGGGAGAAGAGCGCATGCAAAGAGATGCTCTTGGGGGGGGGGGGGGCGGGAACAGAGGGAGAAAAGCGTTTGGACTTCGCTTTCATTTTTCTTCCCCTTTGAGGGAGCGGTGGGCAGAGCTGAATGGCTCAGTGAGTGCCGAATGAATGCGGGCATTCACTTGGCCTCCAAGGGCTTCCAGCATCCCTTCAAACCCAGGGCTCTTCTGGAGCGGGCACCAAAGGCTTTTTGCAGAGGGGCCTGGGAAGTCTCCTCCTGCCTTGAATACCTCTCCCGGCACGGGGAAAGGGGCAGCTTTGTCCCTGGCTCTCGCAGGCAGGGTGAGTCACCGGGAGAGAAGAAAGGACCCTTTTGCCACTTGCAACAGAAGTTTGCTGGGAGTCATGCTCGGAGCAGCCGGTCCCCAGGCACGCGCCCCACAGCTCCTCGTCACCTGCTGTGCCGTGGCACGGCGTACGTGATGCCCGTAGCACTGTGCCTGTCTCTGGGGTCAGGAATCCACCTGTAATCCCTGCACCCAGGGGTGGAGGTGTGCAGGGGAGCTGTGCCAGCAGAGAGGATCCCTGCCGTGGGACTCCCAAAACTGAGCTGTTTTTGCAAATTGAAAGACTGTGAATGGAGGAAACCCGAGTCTGGCATCAAAGCCGCTTTTCTTAGAGCATGCTTCCCAAATGAGAGGGATGCCCTTGGCAGTCTGTGGCAAAGGAGAGGCATTATCTGGGTGAAGTTTATTTTCAACAGAACAACGTCAGAGGGAACTGGAAATGGGAAATCACCTGGGTTTAGTTTAATTTACACCTTTAAGTGAGCCATGTGTACTGAATGTCTCCCCCTTCGAATACATCCCCACATCCCTATGGCAACAAGAGATTTTTCTGAAGGTTTCCCCACCCCCTTGTTGCAGACGTTGCCCTCATTAGCCCCCATCCAGCCCCCTGCATCCTCCGCTCCAGCTCTGATCCACAGATTGACCTGGCTTTAAACAGCCAGAGCTGTTTTGCTGCTCATTTTAACCCAGCTTATTGAACACATTTAGAGCCACGCAAGGAGCTGAACAGCTGCAGGTCCAAAAGCCAGGCAGCCCAGGGCAGGAGGAGAGCGGGAATATCCAAGGCAGACCAGGGAGGTCCTGACGCAGAGCTGCACCCCACGAGGGTCAGAAACCATGTGAAACCCAGAGAGATGTGGTTTGGTGCTTGCCGCGGGGCCTTGCCGGGCATGGAGACTTCACCCAAAGGGATGAACCTGATGGCTGAATGTAGTGTAAGCTGCAGACCTGGAAGAATTAAACCACTTTTTCTTTTTCCTACTGATTCGTTTCAGCACTTCAGATTACCTGCTGGCTGTTGTACCCTTTCCCAGCAGAAACAAGTGGCTCAGCCTTGCATGGTGGCTTTCCAAGCTGGCAGCGCCCGTGAGCCTCAAAAGGCCTCTTTAATGCATTTATAGGCGTGTTTACCTGCTCCCGCTGCTCGTTTATTGAAGCAGGTTTCCAGCAGACAGCTGTAGCACGCATCCTTCCAAGCATCAACCGCAGCAACCCACGGCTCATTGCACAGGGAGGCGGGGGGACAGGGAGCGGGCAGCATGAGGGGGCACGAGCCTTCCTCCACCTGCTCAGGAGCACATCTCGGGGGGCAGTCTCAGCCACGGATTGCTTTTTGTGGAGCACATTTGCCCCAGGATGCCTCTCTTCAAGGCGATATTTGTTAGGCAGCCAGGTTGCTCTGCTCTCACCCAGGCTGTTTGTTCAGGTGCCTTGCAAATTGCACAATGTTTTCCAAAAGAAATTAAGCAGCAATATTTTTTTGGATTGCCCGGTGATAGCTGCATGTGGGTGTAGTTCGGATGCCTCCACCTTTCCTGCTAGGAAACAGTAACCTGGAAAGCATTCAGGAACCTGAAATAGCAAAATCTCCTGTCGCCTTGCAGACCTCTGCCTGGAAATGAGCTGCTTAAAGGGGCTCTGCCGGGATGCCCAGGATACCAGGGGCTGCTTGAGGAGGGAACCGAGCCTGAACCAAAAGATGGGGAAAGAATAGCGATGCGGGGTGAGCTAGTTCCCGCAGAGCAGGATCACATTTTGGTGGACTCCATGACATCCCAGTCCTGGCTGGCAGGGGAGCTCCTGGGGCAGGCAAGCTGGCTCTGGGACACCGGCCGACTCCTCCTGAAGGTGCTGATGGAGCATCGCAGGGAGCCCAGCCGCTTCCAGAGCCTCAGCTGGGGCTCACTGGCATCCGCTGGGTGATGGGGCATGCACTCATGGGGCCCGGAGCGGGACGGGTCCAGCGCCGCCGGCTTGCAGAGGGTGACAAAGACGAGGAAGCTCGCCACGAGGAGGAAGATGCAGACGAGTGCGATGATGATGGGCAACGGGTCTGCCTTCTCGGGGGATGTGGTAATGGGTGGGACCAGCTCGGTGGTTGAAACCAGAAGGCCAAGGACAGCTGGGGTGGGAGAGATCCTGTTGCCAGCATCCTCTGTGCTCATCTTCCCTGCAGTGCACAAGATGACACAGAGAAGCGACACGGGTGATTACCACCTAGAAGCTGGACAGACAGCCACCCTCTGTCCAACCTGATGGATTTCTGGCTTGCTTTGATGTCCAAGGTCCTCCTGGCCATGTTTTCTGTGACTCAGGGTGACAGGAGTCTGTCTGCTTTGCCAGGAGGCAAAGCACAGAGGTAGGATTTTTATATCTGCAAAGTACTGCCCTGAACTGAAGTGCAAAACCATCTGGCAAAGGTAGTACCACATACGCGCAGTACCACGGCCCCAGTGATGAAACCTGTAGGGAACACACACACATGTTGTGTGAAGCTTTTCTGGGATGCTAGAGAAGGTCCAAAATCCTTCCCCCAAGCTGCTGGGGTTTGGTTCTTCTCTATTCCCCAGAAATGTAGCTTTGCCGAATTAACTGTCATTTGGGGTTTTTTTATTATCCCTCTCCCAAATGGAGAATTGGCTGAATCTCCACCTGGATAACTCCCTGTCGAGCTGCAGTATTGCACTATAGCATTGCCTGTTTTTTTCTTTTTGCAGGGGCGAAGTCTAACGCCCTCACCCTGCTTGTGCTGAAAATCTGCTTGGATTAGGTGTTTTTCTGACCTGGTTTCGGGTTCAGACATGTTGCAGGTTTCTCAGCCAAGATCTGCAAACAGTGATGCAAACCAGCTTCCCAAAGCCTCGTCTGTAAGAGCTCTCACCAAACACCTGATGGCAACTGTCCTCTCCTTTCCCCACCGGCTCGGATCCACCCCCAACTCACATCCCCAGGGCAGTTTGCACCCATCGCTTTGCTCCCGTGCACCCTCCTGCGCCCATTCCCGGCCCCGGATGGGCTGTGCCTGAGGCTGGCAGCTTCCCAACTCAGAGATGAGGGCTGGGGAAATATTGCTGTGCCAACCCTCTGCAGCGCGACAGCTTGGCTTGGCCCTTCGTGCTCTAGCCTGTACGCTGGTGGTAAAGCGTCATTACACTGACTTTCCTACAGAGATGTGGGAGTTAGAAGAGTGATGGAGAGCTGTTAGACTGGTCCGTGGCCGGGCAATCTCCTGGCAAGTATGGATTTGGATTGAGCCAACTGAAAATTAAGAGCTTGAGGGGGAAAAGGCAGGGCTGCAGGGACTGCCAGGGTCTCTGGGTCTGCTCTTGCAGCCACCATCCCAAAGCCAGGCAGGTAGCAGCCAGACATTCACTAATAAAACATTCAAAAAAGGGGAGAGGAGACATCAGTGACATGTCTTTAATCACTAACTGGAAACTGTGAGACTCGCTGGCAGAGACAAGCCCAGCGAAAAGCAAGATGCTGCGTCAGAAGAGAGAAGCATTGCTCATCGTCCAAATTACGCAGGAGGAAACAACCTTCAGCAAACACTGTGAGAACTGCAAGGCCGAGCACTCAGAGGTTAAGGAGTCCTTGAACTCAGATTTTCTGTGCCCCAGCCATACCCTCTGTATACAGGTACGCGCTTACGTAGGTGAGCTCCCAGCACGGGTTTGCCAGGACCCTGCCTGGTCCCGGAGGGGACAGATTGCTCCTGCGGGATCCATGCTCCTTCCCTTGCAGGCAATGAGCTGAGATATGGAGGGAATAAGGTCAGAGATTTCCACTAGAGCTGGGTGCCAGGTTTGAGGCACTTGGGTGATGTGATTTATTTCTGGAATATTTTGCATCGCCTGGGCTTGGGCATTCAAAGCTGTGATGCAGGTGACCTGAGGGCAAGGACTGTATCGGCCTGGTGAGAGCTCGGAGGCTCTGGGGAGACATGGCTGCTTGCATGGGTCAGAGCCAGGTCTGCACTCGGAAAATGGAAAATGCAAAAATAAATGGATCGACATCTGAAAAAAACTTAACTTGGGTGAATCCCCACGCCTATTGCAAGCAGGCTCAGGGGCCAGGGCTTTCATCCCCTGCTCCAAAGTGATGTTTTCACCTCTCTTCACCCCAAAAGCGTTTCTTTATCATGCAGCCTCTCCTTGCCTGGCTCAGCCCCTTCCCTTCCAGCTTTGGGAGCAGAGCAGCCCCTGGCAGCCCCGGCCATCCCAAGGACCCCCCTGCTCTGTAGGCAGGCTGTTCCTGTGTGCTGCCCGGGGACAGGGCATAAAAACCAGCAGGCAGGGCTGCTGCTTGCCGCGCACACCAAAGGCAGCCTGAATCAAGGTTACCACGGCTACCTTAATTCTGGCATTTACTGACCGTGTGTGGTTTGGCTTGGTGACCTTATATTGTTCGTTAAGAGCGAGCCGGGAGGCGTGGGTTCTTCGAGTTGTTTTTTGCTCTGGTGGCGGTGGCTGTAAGGTTTTTCTTTTAGGGCCAGCTGACTGTGTCCCCTAGAAACCCATCAGGAGGGATCACACTGATGCTTTCCAAGGCTTTTGCAGCCATGCTTTCTTCTCTTTCACTTTCTTCACCAAAAGGGTAGTCAAGCATTGGAACAGGCTGCCCAGAGAGGTGGTGGAGTCACCATCCCTGGAAGAGTTCAAAAAACGGGCAGACGTGGCACTTTGGGACATGGTTTAGTGGGCATGGTGGTGTTGGGTTGATGGTAGGACTGATGATCTTAGAGGTCCTTTCCAACCTTAATGATTCCTAGTTTTTACTTTCATTATAAATGATCCAGCCACCAAGCCAGGAGGTGTGGGGTTGCTACTCTCCTCTTAATTGGTTTAGTGGTGGACTTGGCAGTGTTAGGTTAATGGTTGGACTGGATGATCTTAAAGGTCTTTTCCAACCTAAACGATTCTATGATTCTATGATTCCCATCCATCCTCTCTTCACACCCAGCTCGGCTGGCAGAGCCACGGCTTCAGGGAGGGTCCGGACTGCCCCACACATGATCTCTAAGCCCTTCCAGAAACAGAGCCACTAAAAATCTGGGAAATCTTTGCAGAGTACATGCGAGTGGTCACTTTTTTTTAGGGCCAGTAAGTTTTCAACATATTAACATGACCAAAGGGGATTCGCCATCACCTCCTGCCTGAGACATAGCTACGGCCGTTTCAGCAAAACTTCAGCAAAAAACCAACCAAAATTAGGGTCTTATCAGTGGAAATGTCAGGGCTTGGTAAGAGCAGCACTCCCCACGCCCACAGCATGCACGGGGTTGAGGGCTTCCCTCCCGCAGCGTGGGAGCTCAGTGCCATTCCTGAAGTGTGGCAACGGACCAGTTGCCAACAGGATTTTGTACCCACTGGCCAAGTTGCTGCCTGCATCCCCGTTCGTAGCATCGCCCCTTCCCAACATCCATGTCCCACATTGTACAATCCAGCTGAGTTAATAACAGGCTTGCTGAGGAGCACCCAGCCTGGCAAACCTCCCCAGAAGAATCATCCCTGGCAGCTCAGCTCTAACACGAGACATCCCCACAAGTGCTGGGGACCCAGCACTGGGCACTAGGCAGCCGAGGATCAGAGGGAAAGAAGAGAAATTGCAAAAAGCTCCTGAAGAAGGTGGAAAGGAAGAAGAATTTATTCTTGTGCATGAGCAGAAGAGAGCATTATTCTGCCCAGCACCGGGCGCTGCCTGCCTGGCCTGCTGCAGCTGCCTAGTTTGGCAGGAGTTTTTCCATATGCTCTCCCTCCTTTTTCTCAAACTCCTGCAAAGAAAAGGCTGTTTTCAGGCGCTTCTGTGCCTGTAATACAGCTGGGATGAAAAGCAGCTCTCTTTCCCCTCCCCATCTTGCTTAGCAACGCTTTCCTGGAGCTCCCCAGCTTTTCCCAATGCACTAAGTCTTTCAACTCGCTTGCAGGAGGAGGTAATGCTGGAGGGTACCAAACACCCAGCTTAGCAAACCTAAATAGTTGGGTACCAAAAGCGACGGCACGCTGTACCCCATCACCCTCGCTGTTAAGCAGCAGTGCTGCATCTGGAAGACTTGCCCCCTCTCCCATCTCCGGGACGGACAAAGCAAGGCGACGGCGAAGGGAGGAGGGATGCCTAACTTCAAACCCACCCCAAATTTCTCATCTCCCCTCCTCACCCAGTTTGCAGCACTTTCCCTGGGCGGCTGCAGGGCTGAGGGCAGCAGCTCACCAGCCGGGGACAGCGGCACGTCCCTGGCCTGCCTCGCTCTCCCCTCGGGGTTAGCCTGCGTGGCCGGCGGTGGGGTTTCCGTGGGGATTTGGGCTCCCTACCTCTCAGTGGCTGGCTGAGCTCCGGCTTTGCCTCCAACACGCTTGCCTTGCCGCCTCTCCCACTGTGCTCTGCTGGCTGCCAGCCCCCTCCTCCCTTTTGGAGGGCAAGGGAGGGTGGGAGAGAGATGGCAGCCGGGCTGGGGACAGCCCGAGCATGCAAAGGCAAAGGGGCCCTGAGCCCCCTCCCAAGCTTTGCCAACACGGCCGTGCCCCGGGGCTGTTCCCTGCTGGGGTGAGGGGGTCGAGGCCCCCGGGATGTGTTTCCCCAGGCTTTGCCCCTGTGGGAAGGATGAATGGTACGGTCGTGGGCTGAGCCCCCCGCGCCGGGGAGGGGGTGGCGGGCTGCCCTCCGCACGCCTGCTCCCCCTTTTCCCAGCAACTCTGTGCCAAGCTGCCTGTTTGGTTTTTTTTTTTCATCCTTTTATTCGCCCGCCTTCCTCCTCCTTTTCTGACCCGTTTCCAGTAGCTGGGGGTGTTTGAAAGGTGGCCTGCAAAAGGCTGGCTCTAGCAGGGGGATAAAGCAGGCTGGAGGCCCCGGCGCTCGGATGCACAAGGTGCTTTGCACCTGCAGCAAAAAGAGCTTTTCTCCCACCAGTTGCACTCAAGTGAAATTGTTTTCACAAGTTTGAGACAGTCTGTCAAAGTACCGCATCTCCTCTGGGACCTCAGGGGGTCAAACCAGCAAGCAGCCGAGCTTTTTCCCGGCAGCAGGCTTTGCCACAGCAGCAGCAGGAACGTGCATTGGTTTCATGCAAACTGCTTTTTTTTTAATAAAAAAGCAAATACCTGGGCTCACCCATTTCACCTGGTTTATGTGCCAGAGCTGCCTGCAGCAAATGCTTGGGTGAGCTGGG